GTGAGGCTACATGGCAGCAGGGCTCTCTTCCAGCCCTGGGTCTGGAGAACTTATTGCTTCTGGGAAGGGCCCCGGGTAGGTCTGTGCTGTGTATGGGATCCCTTTTTGTAGAGCAGTTTCTTCGTGGAATTCTCCCTGGGTGCTGAAAGCTGGACATGATCTAGTCCGGGCATTCTTCTCGGCTTTGTTGGGCTGGCCCACGAGCTCGCTCACGGTGCTCAGTGGGAATTCTCTGCACCTCTGCCTCTGCAGTTCGTCCTCTTTGTATTTTATGGAGTACCAGGCCAGAAAAATAAAAATAAAGCCAACAAATTTGAGGCCAGCCGCCAAACCAAAGTAGACAAAACGAAATGATGTCACGTTGTACTCCCAGCAAGAGCCCTGTACCCCACATTCCTGTTGCCAGAGCATGCAGGTGGTGTCAATAACTGCTCCAAAGTAGATCGGAGTAGGAATGTATGCTAGGGTTGGGGAGAGAAAGAAAACCATAAAGATTCAGTACATCTTATACAAGAAATCTGACTTGTAAATTAGCAAGGTACTTGTTTGCTCAAAAACCAGCTAAAGGAAGTGAATCTCTTGTGTTACTTGATTTTTTAAAAGATATATCATCTAATCACAATTTATTTTAAAAACATTCTCTAAATGGTGAACACTTAAAATCTTCCATGTTGCAACTCAGAATGTGTTACTGGTTTTTAGGATAGTTAAAAAGTGTCTATTGTGTGTGTGTGTGTATACATACACATGTGTAATCATCACATTGTACACTTCAGATACATTTTTTATTTGTCAGTTATAATTCAATAAAGCTGGAAAATGTCTATTGTTAAGGATGCAGCTACAGAATCGTTTAAACTTCTAAAAAATGGATTTTGTCATAAATACTTAAGAGGCTAGAACACTTCATTGCCCACCAAAATTCAGTATACCTAATTCTTGTGGGTTGAGTCCTAGTCCTTGGATGTAGAAAGAGGAAGAGGCAAGTCTTGTCCCTCTTAAGTCAGACACCACATCAGATGGCAATTTTAGTATAAGGGCGCTGAGGGTATGGAAATAATTATGGCATAAAATTCATCTTTGAAGCTTATAAAACATCCAGATGAGTAGCAGCTTTGTTGTTTGGGACACTGTAGAGACATTGCTTTGATCCCAGCAGACAAAGCCTACCCAGTAGATGTCCTTCATCACATGCTTTGTCAAATGTGCCCTGACCCGTAACTGGTTCATCTGACAAATATCCACCCCTCCTTTAAATTCCAGACTCAGAAACCACTCTGTGCCCATTGCGATTTGTTTATTAACTATCACATATTGTTTTATTAAATCATTGGTCAATTTGTCACCCCAATGGCACAGCCACACCTTTTATGCTTTCCTGCCCAAGGATCTATCAGGACAGCCAGAGAGCGTCAGCAAGAGGGTACAGAGGAGGCACTGGCTTAACTTTGCCTCCAAATCCATCCCAAATAACCCCAACTCCATGGCATCAGAGAGGAGCCGAGAAAAAGGAAGGAACTTTTATTTTTCTTTTTCTATTCAGCCACCCCTTTGGTTAACAAATTTCCTTTTTGAAAATAATACTTTTTAGTTTTCAATGCAAAGTATAACTATGTGTACACATGTCCAAATTTCCTTTAATCAGCATTCTTTTTAAAACCAGCACCTTCAAAGTCACCAGTAACAGAAGTCAAGCCACTCATTAAATGCAACTAGAAGCATTTTCCTTCTGGGTTTATTGGAAAGTGCCCATTAATGGAGTAGGCCATGAACCCCAACATACACAAAGTGAGAATTCAGAGAGGATTAATGCTTTAAATGGGGAAGACGATGCCATTTTGAAATGTTTTATTCTTCAAAACTGAAATTTGAATCAAAAACCCTTCCCCCCACCCCTGTGGAAAATAATAAAGATTACTAGGGGGAAAATAGCAGCTGAAGAAAATGATAGGCTGACACTAAAGAAGGAAAAGATAAGCTTGATGAGGAAGTCAGTTAGCAACACACTGAGGCAACAGGCTTCTCTTCACAGGTCATTTCCCATTTGCTGTCCCAAGACCTCACTGGGGGGGCATCGCCTTTGAAAAATTATTCTTTCTATGCTCTGTTCACAGTTACAAAGCACTAAGGAATGCACATGTGTTCTCTCTCTTTACCAAGATTTGAACCCACACTTGACAGTAATCTCTGGGTGTTGCTTTGGGGATTGATTATTCTTTTTAGAGTTTCTTTACATCAAAAAACTTGGTATGCTCAATCCAAGTAAATTATTGTAAAGAACAAGAAATTGAAATTCTCACAAGTAAAATCAGCACCAATTTATCTCCTTTCTAGATTAAAAAAAGGAGTAAAGGGACCAAAAATGCTAAGATAACAAACCAATTAAAAATGTCTTCATTGAATATTTCCTACTGTGCAAAACTGTCTGGGGAATTTTGCCCAAGTTTATGTTCACAGTCAAAAAGAAACTGACCTAAAATCAGTTTTGTTGAGGTATTTTTTTTCATCAAATAAACTTGTCAGCTTTTAGTTCAAATGAAAAGAAAATAATAAGGAAATGTACCCTCACCACAAACCTGTAAAACTCCTAGCTACGAATGGTAACAAATGACTTGACTTGCCATTTTTAAAGGACAGTGAGTATTTGCCAGTTGCAAGGAGGAACTAAGAAGCACGCTTGGAAATTCAGGGACGTACCAAGTGTTCGCAACAAAACAAACTGCATCCCCAGGGCAAAAGGTCTCTCTTCATCTTCCACAGACCTACAGTGAAGGAAGAAAGAAATGTTTTAAAATTGTAGTCCCAAGAAAAGACATCAAATCAAGCCTGTTCTGTGTGGAGCGAGGGATCAACCGGATGCTGGGCAAACATATTCAATCCACTAGAATTTAGTAACAAAAGCCAAGAAGACTGCTGTTGGGAGCTCACAGAATAAAGGTCTCTCCAAAACGACTCAAAGGAAAGTCTGATTAACTCTAATTGTTTCTTTGTAAGCCCTGGTTGAGGATCAAAGGATCTCAGCTGAAGGGGCAGAAGCATCTCTGATTGGACTTCCAAAATCAGTTCTTTTTAAAAATTTCATAAAATTTTAAACATACCATTCACTGTCTCTGTTCACCTAAATATTGCATTCCCTGTTTCTGTTCACCTGTAATTTCCTGATTGGTAGAAGTGTCCAATGAAAACCACTCCCATAATTCTCCCAGAGGAGGAAAAAGGTAAAAGAAAGAAAGAATAAATGACCAAA